CCGGAGGGGGGGGTGTGGGGTGGACGACGACAATTTTTGGACAACCCTCCGCCCCCGGTGCTCGCAGGACCCCTGTCTCCTGAAGGGTGGGGTGGGCCGGGGCGGTAATGGCGGGCACCTCGTCCCTGCCCCCCCCACACCGGGGCCGCCCCCCGGAGCGACGCGACGTGGCAACGGCTGCGCGGCGTAGCCAACCCTGCGCACAGCACCATGGAACCTGCTAGCCGCGGCCCGCCCTCCTCCCGCTCTCCGCACACTGATTGGTTTTTCGCCGCGTCCATCGAGGCTCGGCGGCCATCTTGAGTGTGGCCCGACTGGAATCACACCCGTTTGTCGGGCCCCGCCCCAGTGTGGTGCGGCGGCCATCTTGAGTGTGGCCTGGCGGCCATGTCAGTGCGGTGCGGGAGCACTGTGGGGGGGAGCGGGGATGGAGGGCGCCCGGTGGGCTTCATAGCGGGGTGATCTGCGTTTATGAGCCCTCAGCCAGCTCACGTTGTTCCTGATGGCTATGGGATGGAGGCAAGGACCTCAGCAGACCCCTGCTCCATCTTGGAGACAAGCCCTGTGGGGTGTGAGGGCACCTAGGGCCCACCTGGGTAAGCAGAGACAGAGGATTTGGTACTAAACCTGACTGGTTTGTCTCTGCCACCTGACATAAGCACTGCAAAGAATTTTTTTCTTTTATGGTTGCAGGGGCAGGGCTGGCCCTTGCCCTGTAGTCAGCAGGCGTGTAATGGTCCAGGGTTGGCTGTGTTCACACTGGCAGGCCACCATGGGCCTTGAAGATAGCGTGTGTCAGCATGAGGGGCCCAGGCCCCATGGCAGGCGTGCTTTCAGTTTGTGGGGGAAGCAAAGACAAACTCTTCTTTCAGCAGCAGTCTTCTCCCTCTAAGGGCAGAATGAATCCAGCCTTGCCACTGCTTTGATCCCAACCACCGCCTGGAGGTACTTCCTTAAATTTTAAAGTGGGAAGACAAGGAAGGATGGACTGATGGGGACCTCCCTGATTTGCAGTGTATGCTTTCCCATGGGAAAGGAGGTGGGCAAGGGGGTCTACTTGGAAGACCAGGGTGGGATGAGGTGGGTGCTGTGTGGCCCTGTGCCCCCCAAACCTGGCAGTCAGGAGTTGGCTCTGGAAACCCCATCCTGTTGCAAACTGTCCCCTCCTGTCTCACCCTCCTTCACCAGGCCATCTCCAATACAAACCTTCATTTGTCCTAGGCTCTTCCCCACTCCCTTCTCTCCTGCCTGGCCCCGGTTTCTCCCTTCATGCATGGCAGATACTCCTGCCTACTTCCCTGAGCTCTTATCTTAGAGCTGTCCATCCTGGGCAGCAGCTGCCTGGCAGCTTGATTTCAGGTCAGGATTTCTAGCTCCACTGACTGATCGCTGCTCCAATTGCTTTTGGCTGTAGCTGTCAGGGCTCATGATGGACTTTCTCTCTCCAGTTCATCAGTGTTCATTGATGTGGCAAGTCGCCGCCGCTACAGACCAGACTCGTGCATTTGATTCCTGCTGCATGATCCACACTGCCAGGCCCTGTCATGCATTTCTGAGTGCCTGGAGCTTGCGACATACGCCTGACACCCCAGATGTTCATCCCCATTGCAGTCTGGGGCATGGAGGGAAGAGAAGGAACATGAGAGGACAAGGTTTGTCTGAAAGAAGGGCCCAGGCAGGCTCTGTGCCATGCACAGGGCTGTGCTGTCTCCTCCACCCCCTGAGCGTATGGAGGAAGCAGAAAGGATCTGTGCCACCTTTGCTCTCTCCTCCCTGTTTTGCAAGGACACAGCCTCCCAGCTCTGAGCTGTGTTTTTGTGGCACTCCCAGGACATGACAAAACTGCCCACGTGGAATGGATGTTGTACTGCCCTTTGATCTCACCTCGTGAGCCCCAGGCAGGGCCACCCTGGCAGTGACACTTGTTTGATAACTCCAGGGTGCTTTGAGCAAGGAGCACTGATCTGGGTTAAGACCTGCATTCCAGGAAAGCTGGGATTCTTCTACTTTTGAAGCCCTGGAGGAAATTCCATCCTTGAGGAGGGGCTGCTGTGGCTGGAGGGGGACTGGCTGGTCCTGCATTTGTGGGGGGAGGCCATGACAGGCTCTGCAATTAAGAGCAGGTCATGCTCATTACGAACCTTTGTTCCATGACCTCAAATGCTGGGGCTACACCCCTTAATTCCCTCTGCTCCACATGGGGACTCATCTTTTGGCCACCCACAAAATGTGGCTGAGGAGGGAGCATTGCCCCAGACTCAGTTTGGGGTACAGTAGTCACTGCTAAATATACTGCAGGAATCCCCCTCCCAATGACCATCACTGGCCCCCACGTCTCAGAGAAAAACAAGTCCATTTCTTCAGTGCGGAGTTTCTCCAACATCTATCATAGACGGATTTATTTTAAGGCCCAAAGGGACTGTTAAATGATGTAATTGAGTCTCCTGCACATTGCAGCCTGTAGATTTCCACCGACTTACAGCTGTATGGAAGCAGATCACTCCTGTTTTGATAAAAGTATCTTTCTCATAAAGGCTCCTGCTCTTGATTTTCCCTGGATACAAAGATAGCGCTGCTCTTGGCAGCTTGTTCTGGCGGCTGAGCACCCTCTCTGCTAAAAACGTGGACCTTCTTTCCAATTTGAATGTGCTTCAGCTTCAGCTCCCAGCCGCCTGTCCTCGCTCTGCCTTTCTTTGACTAATGAATCGTTTCACAGCCAGGTAACTTGAATCTCTGTTTGCAGGAGCACAACCTGCCTTTTTATGACATTTAGAAAAAGAAGCCAAGGTGTTGCTTTGTGGCTTCCTCCCTCAGCTGCAGAAACCCACAACACTCCTTTTCTATACCGTGCTAAAAAAACCCAGGGAGCATTTCTTCCTTCTTAAGGCTCCCCCGGCTGCTGAGAGGGCCGGGTCTTGTTGGAGGGATTATTTCATCCATCCTCTTTGGCTTTACTGCAGATTTCTTTCCCTGTCACATAGCTGGATGTGCCCTGTCAACGACCCAGCGTGGTGCCCAGCACAGGTGCTGGCAGAGGTGATGCCTGAGCGATTTGCCACCTCTGCAGAAGGCTGTTGCAAGCACCCTGCTTCTTCTCAATCAACTCTCTATCATGCTGTCAGGAGGAGCAAAGCTGTTCCAGGAGAGTTGAGATCCAGCACCTGAAAGTCTCCTTTTTGGACTTGTCCGAATACAAAAACAAATCAAAAAATATTTAAACACACCTTAGGAAAAACCCTCTGATACACTTATCTCCTCTTCTACCTTCTGCAGTGCTTCTTAGCACTGTGCCTAAGGCCCACAGGAGTCGGAGGCGGGATGATCTCCCCTGGCTTCAGCTAGTTGAGGCACATCCATCTGTTGCTTTGTCTTGAAAGCCTCATCCATATCCCCTGGCAGCCCCCTCAGGCTGAAACCTCTTCGGCAGGCAATGCAGAAGTGGTTCCTTTGCTTAGTGCGAAGAAATGCTGAGCCTGAGCAGAGCTTTTGTGGTAAAAATAATTGTTACTAACAGTCAAGGCTTCTCCCTGGTAGAGAGCCCTTGTTTTCCCTAGGATCAGGAGGAAACATCACTGAATCCATACTGACACACAAACAAGGACAATATATGTATTTAAAATGATGTTGGAATTGTTTAAATCAGGTCTCTGCGAGTCTGGATTCCCTTTCCCTGTGGTGTAGGAGAGAAGCCACATGATCAGTGCCACAGCAAGGGGAAAACGCTCCCAAATGCCAGGTGCAAAGCTGAATGCAAGCTCCTGCTCATATCTTTATTAAAACTTATTTAAATTTAATCACCTTATTAAAGACACATTTTTTCTTTCAGTTCACTGTCAGTTCAAGACCTGGGAAAAAAACACCAAACCCCTTGGAAAAGCAGTTAATCATGTTGAGGGAGTACAAATGAAATGATCAAAAATAGAAAGCGTAGACCGTTTGGTTTTCAAAACGCCATCTAATTCTGCACCTGGAGTGTGAGCTGGTAGGGGTGAGACTCGTGTCTGAGAACAAGATCCCCGGAGTGAGGAGGTTGAATAAGTGTTTCCGTTCACCAGGCAGAGACGGAGCACAGAGACCACGGCTGGAGACTCCGAACAAAGGACATTCGTGGCCGAGGGTGACCTACCTGCAAGTGAATCCCTGCCGAGAGCCTGTGCCCCCTTCAGCTGCACGGACCATTTACAAATCCAGGACAGCGGGTCACATGGAGGTGGAATAATATTAGTTTCAACCCATGATCTTTTTCAAAGAGGAGATGGATTTGGGGCATGGTGTGCCCATAGCAGATGAGATGTGGTGCTGAGATGTAGCCCTCAGGCTGTGGAGAGTAAGGTGTTGAGATGTGAGAGGGCACAGGAGAACAAAATTCACTGGCAGTGACTACATTTAAGGGGCCTAAATGAGCAGTGGATGCCATTTCCCTGACCATGAGAGCAGAGAGGTTCTGGAACAATCTCCTAGATGGGAAAATGGTGGAAAACCTACCCATTTCCAAGTGGAAAACACCCCATGGAGCATTATTTGTACCTTGTTGAGTGGATTGCGAGAGATTTGCACTAACATCAGCGTGAATACAACTATGGGGCAGGAGGTGCTGACCCTGGAGGGCTCTGTCCTTGAGCACGTTCTCGTTTCAGGCTGTCAAATAAAGATATTTCTGGGAACAGCAGACAATGCCAACACCAGCTGAAGCCCGGTGGGGGGGGGAGTGCTTCTGGAAAATCACATTTTATGCTCAAATTCTAGGAAGAGAGTATTGATAGGTGTGGGATTGCACCAGCGTGGGAGAGGGAGCAGGGCTGTATGGACAAGAGACATCCTGAGGGCAAGGTTTAAACAGGAGGGGTCAGGATGCAGCATGGAGCCTCCTCATCCTCTCAACCTTGAGGGCAAGCTGAGCAAAACGGGGGGAAATAGGAAGAAAATAGCTAAAGGGAGAACTGGCCCTCACGTGGGGTTCTGGCCTCTCTGCCAGGCAGGGAGGGAGCACCGAGCTGCTTCTGAACGACAACCCCAGCCGCCACAAAAGGGTGACAGTGGGAATTGCCCTCACTGGGAAACGTCTCCCCACTGCGAGGGATGTGTTGGGGCCATTGTGGAGTGAGTGGGACACAAGAGATGCTCC